AAAAAAAAAAAAAAAAAAAAGAAAAGAAAAGAAATACTAAGAGTTGGCTATTGCCATGAGCTTTTATAATTTGTATCATTTACAACTTGTGGAAAATTTGGTCTGATGGCCATACATGGCAGCTCCCAAATCCTGCACTTTGGGAGGCTGCTTGAGCCCAGGAGTTAGAGACTAGCCTGGGCAACAAAGCCAGACCTCATCTTTATAAAAATAAAAAAAATTAACTGGGCTGGTGCCTGTGGCTCAAAGGAGTAGGGCGCCAACCCATATACTGGAGGTGGTGGGTTCAAACCTGGCCCTGGCCAAAAACTGCAAAAAAAAAAAAATAATAATAATTAACTGGGTGTGGTGGCCACACCAGCAATCCTAGATACTTGGGAGGCTGAGGTAGGGGTATCTCTTGAGCCCAGGAGTTCACGTCTGCAGATGATAATACCCTAAAACTCTAACCTGGGTGACAGAGTGATACTCTATCTCTAAAAAATTCAGAGGAAATAAAAAGAGAAGAAAAGAAATATAGCTTGAGTTAGAAGCAAGCTATCTAACTCAAATGAAAGACCTTCACTATGGAGCCAATCTGCTCATCTTTGCTCCAACATTCCTCCATGTTTTGCCCATTTCTTCCCCTAACATCTTTCTGTATGGTGTATGGATGCAGAAAAGAATGTTGTGTTTTATTCAAGGAAAATCTATCTTAACTTTGGTTGAAATTATCATCACCCCCCTGGCTTTTATTTATTTATTTTTTTTTTGAGACAGAGTCTTCCTCTGTCGCCTTGGGCAGAATGCCGTGGTGTCATCATAGCTCACAGCAACCTCACACTCTTAGGCTCAGGTAATTCTCTTGCCTCAGCTTCTGAGTAGATGAGATTATTGGCATGCACCACTATGCCCGGCTAGTTTTTCTATTTTTAGTAAAGACAGGGTCTAGTCTCATACTCCTGAGTTCAAGGGATCCTCCTGCCTCAGCCTCTCAGAGTACTAGAATTATAAGGGTGAGCCACTTTCTCATGAAAGAAATATGAAAAATGAGAAAAAGGGGACTTTCAGAGGTCATAATATGCCTTTCTTTCCAGAGGCAACCAACGTATTTTTTACTCAACACATTATTATAACCTCCTATTAGTGTTAACTTGGATACCAGTTTGAAAATGCCAAAATTAAGTTTGTCACTAATCTATGACTTTCATTATCTATGGAAAAACTGGATAAATGCGAAAAAATTAGTGTCATAATTAATAGGAAGTCAAAGATTAATAAATTATTCAAGTAGCAAAGGGAGATTAGCTGGGTCAGTCTGGTGTCAAGGGAAGATTAGTGGACGAAGGGCAGGAAGCTGGATTCAGTCCAGGCTCCGCCATTAAGTAGACTCTCAAATCTAAGCAAGTCTTTCAACTCCCTGGAGTTCAGTTTCCTAACCTGTGAAATGAGGAAGTTGAATGAGCTCTTCTTAGGGTTCCTTCCAGCCCCAACATGCTAAGATTCTCTGAGGAGCAATAAATGTGGACTCACAGGAGGGCTGCTGTCTGCAGGAACCTCACTCACTGGAGCCCCTGCCTGCCAGCCTCCCTTCTCTGGTCAGGCCAAGCAGATCAGGTGGCTGGCAGAGGAAAGAAGCTGTAGCCTCAGCCCACCCCACCCCTTGTCAAAGCTGGGACACACACACACCCGTCGTGTCAAAGGTGGACACAGGGATCTCTCAGTCTCGTTTGTACCAACAGAATTCCAACCCAACTTCAAAATTAGCACTTGGAAGTTCTTTTGAGATTTCATGTTTCAAATTCCTTTAATAGTCACTGCCTGGTTTCTATTTCTAAGAGAACGGGTTTGATCTGAAACCATACAGATGAACTGACAAGGAGGATTTCTGGAAAGTGAAGGTTAGCTGTTGCACTAGATTATCACTGGGGAAAATTCGTGCACTCTTTCTCCAGGTAACTTAAAAATAGGAGATTTTCTTCAATTTCAGGTCTTTCTTAGAGGTGAAGAGACGACTAACTACTTTCTTAAAAGCCCCTTTTTAAGATTTTAAATTCTTTTTTTTGATCTTTATTCATGAGGGAGAGAGAAGTCCTCCTACTTCTGGGTAAGACTCAAATAAGGCCAGACAGACCCTGTGTCTGGTCAGCTTGGTTGAGCAGAGGTGCTCACATAGCTCAAAGCCTTGGGTTATAACCCCATAAGGACCAGGGCAGTTAGACCACAGACAGCAGTCATAATCACGTTGCCAGTGAATTGTGCCATCAGGAGATGAAAGGAAAGGGTGGGTAACATCACCACAACTCCAGCAGAGAAAACAGGGCCTCCCAACGCCTTTCAAGAACTCACCAATACGGCCAGGGACTGTGGCTCACACCTATAATCTCAACACTTGGGAGACTGAGACGGGTGGATTGCCTGAGCTCATAAGTTCAAGAGCAGCCTGAGCTATAGCAAGAAATCTAAAAAATAGCTGGGCATTGGGCAGCACCTGTAGCTCAATGGGTAGGCTGCCAGCCATATACACCAAGGCTGGCAGGTTTGAACCTGGTCCAGGCCAGCTAAAACAACAAGGATAACTGCAACAACAACAACAACAAAAACAAAAATAGCTGGGTAGGGCAGCACCTGTGGCTCAAAGGAGTAGAGCACTGGCCCCATATACCAGAGGTGGTGGGTTCAAACCCAGCCCCAGCCAAAACCTACAAAAAAAAAAAAAAATAGCTGGGCATTGTGGCGAGTGCCTGTAGTTCCAGCTACTTGGGAGATTGAGGCAAGAGAATTGCTTAAGCCCAAGAGTTGGAGGTTGCTGTGAGCTGTGCCATAGCAATATACCCAGGGCAACAGCTTGAGACTCTGTCCCACCCCCGCACCCCCAAATAGCCGGGCATTGTAGCAGGTGCCTATAGTCCCAGCTACTTGGGAGGCTGAGGCAAGAGGATCACTTGAACCCAGGAGTTTGAGGTTGCTGTGAGCTATGATGCTATGGTACTCTGCCCAGGGTCACCAAGTTAGACTCTGTCTTAAAAAAACAAAACAAACAAACAAAAAAACTCACCAATAATGCAAATAAAACAAAAGAGTTGCAGGTCAAAGAATACCCTGTTTGTTCAGAAGTGACACTTGGATTTGTTGAGGCTTGTGGTATCCCCTCTTCATTTTCATAGAAATGTTAAAACCCATTCTGAAGTAATATGTGGCAAGGCTCTGGCAAAAGCTGAAACTTTGCTCTAGAGAACACTCACCGAGTTATAGTAAACCACACCATCAGGGGCTGACCGCCGGTGCCGAGTACCACAGCCGTTTAGGGGAGACTCCAAAATGAAGTGGGTGCCATTCATCCTGGCCTTGCAGGTAGGATCCAACAAGGTGAGTTCCATCCCTGAGTAGCCATTGGCCTGAAACAACAACCACCAGAGACATACTGGGGAGCCCACGTGCGGTTCTCTGAGACACAGTTAACTCCTGCCACCAGGGCTTCCGGTCGAAGGCTGCCGGAGGCCTGCATCACGCCCCCCCATCACCTCTTCCCAGCCACCCACCTCTCAACAGCCCAAGTACTATGTTTATTAGCCTTGGAAATTCAGTAGCAAAATATTGACACACAAGGATCTGGAACCTCCCCTTGCTGAGAACAACAGGAACTGGCGAGAATCACTGCCAAAGGGAAGTAGGACCATCCAACTGAGAAAACAGAATCGAGTCTCTGGAGGTCAGAAGTGAAAGAGATAGGAGGAGATGATGGACGCAGACTTGGGAAAGGCGCAAAGGAGGCGGCCTCGCCTCTCTCCCGTAAGAGACTGCACTGACCTGAAAAGAATCTTTTTCTACAGCCACGATCATCTTCTCGTTGTCACATTTGACTGACAGGGCAACATCCATCCTCCCTTGCACCTCTTCCGGCTCTCGGGGGCCAGGAAACAGCTGTATGCTGGGGATGACAGGGTCCTTCGGCCGGCCATCTTCTCCCCCTTCCTTCCAGCCTCTCTGGGAGATATCAGGGAAAGGAAACGGGAGGCCTCCAATTCGGCCTCCCCCTGGCCGGACAGGTGGGTTCTGCAGGGCAGGCAGGGCGCCAGGGTCCAGCAGGATCTGCAGCTCAGGAGGGATGGTGTGAACTTCCTCATCTCTCATCTCCTCTGGGGTGACAGAAGGAAGAGCTTCAGCAGATCACTATCATCAGAGGCGGAACAGCAGCCATTCGCACACAATGGGCAGGTGCAAAAGCAATTAGGAGTCTGGAGGGCTGACCTCTCATCCTGACGCTCTCTCTAACTAGCTGAGTAGCTCTGGGCAAGTGGCTTACTTCTCTGTGCCACCATTTCCCAACTTTTTAAATAAAAGGCTTGGAATTAATCAGTGGCTCTCAACTTTTGTTGTACATTAAAATCGTTTGATGTACTCTATAGAATATTATATAGCTACAAAAAGGAATGAAATCCTGCCATCTGCAACAACACGGATGGAACTGGAGAACACTGTGTTAAGTGAAATAAGCCGAGCACAGAAAGGCAAGTCCCGCGTCTTCTCACTCATACGTGGGACCTAAATATGAAAACAACGATCTCATGGGGACAGAGCAGAATGATGGCTAAGAGTGGCTGGAAAAGGTATCGGGGAAGGGAGGATCAAGTAGGGATGATTAGATAAAGTACAGAGATAAAATGAACAGCATTTGATAGCATAACCAAGTGGCCATAATCAATAATAAGTGAGGGTATGGTTTAAAATAGCTGAAAGAGTGGAATTGGAATGTTCCTAACTTAAAAAAATAATAAATGCCTAAGATAATGGATATCCCAATTACCCTGATTTGATTCATTCATATTATATGCCTATATCAAAACATCACATGTACCCTACAATACACAATTATAGGTACCCATAATAATTTTTTTAATGTTTTAAAATCACTTTGAGAGCTTTTAAAAATATCCCTATGCCCGGGTTACACTCCAAGCCAATTAAAACTCAGACTTTCTGGGGTGGGACCCAATCATTACTATGTTTTAAGCTCTCTGTGTAATTACAAGGTGGAGAAGCATTGGGGTCGAAGATTTCTAGGGCCCTACAAGCTATAAAAATCCGTGATTCAACGAAGTTATTGGGGCAACATTCTTCCCTTCAAATGCCATTGAAATACTTTCCTTAAATCTAGAATTATTTCAAACAGTTTCTCTAAAGAGGTCTGAAAACAGTGTTGTGATTTTTAGATTATTATTCACTGTCTTCTTTTTAACTACTAAATTCTAACAAGTCTCTGAGCACCTTAGCCTTTTACAACCTAGTCCCTATAGGGAAAAGAAAAGAAAGAGCTACTTCAGCTCACTTACTGCTTTTAAAGGAAGAGACAGATTTCCATATAATTGATATTGAGTATTCTGTCGTATTTTCAACAATTTAAAAGAAATACAGTAGAATGTCCATAGTTAACCACCTCCTTAAGTTGACCTAATTTTCATAGACTGGACGTGCACCACATGTACGTATCAGGACAGTAGATCTCGTTCCTTATGTTGACCACTTCCATGTGTTGACCAGTTTGTTATAGTCCCTTGGGTGGTCGACTTACAGAGGTTCTACTGTAATAATTTCCCTGGTCTTCTCTACATCCACTATCTAAAGCCAACAGATGTATGTCTGAGGTCAAATCCATCTCAGTGACAGCCAGAAGTGAAGCTGACAAGTGGGCGTGATCTCTCAATATAACTCTTTAAAAGAGATGTCACAACTGTGTGGGTTCAAAAGAAGTCACACCACAAGAATTTTACATTTATTTTTTAACAAAAATCTTTACAACAACCCTGTTAAGGTAGGTCCTACTAATATTTTCTCCCTATTGCAGGAGAGGAATCTGAGGCTAAGGGATTAAGTGACTTCTCCCCAAACAGCGAATAAATGGCAGAGTGAGGATTTCGGCCTGTACTCCCGATCTTTATTCTGTCAGCATTATGCTCAGCAGTGATACCATGGGGTGGGGAACAAACAGGTCTGGAGATAAGAAAACTTTATTAGGCTCATTCAAAAAGGTATTAAGTTTTTGACTTCTGTTCCATCAAACAGTAACTCCCGCCTGCACTCTGGGTAAGAAAGCCCAAGTGTGAGTCCTCAGGACCACTTTCCTATAAGATTCAGCCTCTGACTGTGGCCTTTTTTCCTGTGGTCTTAACTGTCTGTATTCTCAGTCATAAATAGTCATTGGATGCCAGACAGAGAGAGAGAACTAATGTAATTATGCTAAAGATGATCTATAACAATATTCTCTGATACACAACCAACTACTGAAAAGCTATATTAAAGACAGTTTCCTGGCTCCGTGCCCATAGTACATTGGTTATAGCACCAGCCACATACACTGAAGTTGGTGAGTTCGATGCCAGCTGGGCCAGCTAACCAACAATGACAACTGCAACAAAAAATAGCCAGGCATTGTGGTGGGTGCCTATAGTCCCAGCTACTTGGGAGGCTGAGGCAAGAGAATCGCTTAAGCCCAAGAGTTTGAGGTTGCTGTGAGCTGTGATGCCACAGCGCTCTACTGAGGGCAACACAGTGGGACTCTGTCTCAAAAAATAAAATAAAATAAAATACAGTTTCCCTAAAAGAATCTATCATAATTCTAGATAATTTTAAGCCTTCTAATAAAAAGCAGTCATACAAATTATTAAATAGAAAAATAATACCCTATAAAATGAAATGAGAGCTCCCCACTGTAAAGTTTCATTTGGGGGATATTTTTTACACAACTGAAGAAAACATGGCACTTACCATTGTTGTCAAGCTGAAGGTGAAATCTATTAGCCACAGGAGCCATTGTGTACGATGTGACTGGACTATAGCCATTGTCCAAAGCCCACCTGATCAGCTTCCCCTGGGTTGAAGGAATGTCATCTCTTATCGATTTGGTCATTGTCATGGATCTTTCACTCTCTTTCCCAAAGCCAATACTGTTGGGAGCCTGAAGATAACAGCAAAATTTTACTCATGAGTCTCAGATTCAACAGTGTTTTACATGATAATAACGATTAATATCCGAAACAAAAATAAATTCTACATTATATGTGAGGGAATTATTTATTCTTTTGATCTCTATTTTCCTAGGGCTAAGAAAACTGATGTGAAAACCTTTAATAGCAGATTAAGAAACACTGATGCAAAATGTCTGATCATACCATTTGGGTCTTATGTTGATAAAAATAATACAACATCATGTAAGTAGCTAGATACTGAGTACACCTAGTCTGTAACCACAGAGTTAGTGTAATGTTTAAATTATTAACACCCACACCAAAAATGTATGACAAACTTTCTCCTCTTATTTCTATTTAAAATTATGTAGGAAGTATACAAATGTACCTGGTACACTGCTCAAAAATGCCCATCCTTCTACTTCCTGCACTCCTGGATTTAAATGAAAAGTGACACAATCTAGTACAAGTTATGTATCAATTAGTGACAGGGATATGTTCTGGGTGATGTGTCATTAGTCAATTTCATCGTGTGACCATCCCAGAGTGTACTTACACGAACCTAAACAGTATAACCTACTGTACGCCTAGTCTGTAAGGTATAGCCTAGTGCTCCAGGCCACAAGCCTGAACAGCCTGTTACTGTGCTGAATACTTTTGCAACTGTAACACATGGCAGGTACTTGTCTTCCTTACATATCTAAACATAGAAAAGGTACAATGAAAAGATAGTAGCATCACCTTATGGGACCACTGTAATATATGCAACCTACTGTTGACCAAAACATCATTATGTGGTGTGTGACTGTATTTCAGTGTAAAGATCAAACTATTAAATTCAACTTGATGAAACAACCAATGTTTACATCTCATCTATAATTTATGATCAATTTAGCAATCCTAGAATTGTATTCACTTGCCAATTCTATTAACTGAATATACTGACATTTTATGTTCTAAATAGTAATTAATCTAGGTTGCCATGCCTCTAAATGTCAATATTTTATCCAGTAATACAAGTTGGTCATAAGATTAGGTTTTACTGGATAATTAGTTAGAAAATCAAAATGATAGAAATATTTTCCAAAAGTATACAAATGGACTTGGAAGGTCAACTTCTATACCACCTGCTGACTCTCACAGTGCTGATCTTGTCGGAGGGTGAGGGAGCTGAATGCTGCAGTGGGGACCCCCAAAGAGAAGGCAACAGATTTTCAACAACTGCTCCGACAGGGTTGGCAAGCCCTTCCAGCACGCAGATTAGGCCATTTTCACGCTGTATGAAAATCACTTTAATTTCCATGCCCAATGATTTTCTCCTGCATACATGCAGCATTTTTTCCGAAATTCTTCATTTGTTTCCCATTCTGTTTGCCCCTAACATGACTAAATATTAATCCTTTCCCACTGCAAAACCATAAAAGATTTACAGACTCTAAGTTCCTCTTGGCCTGTTTGGTTGTGGGATATTGGCTGAAGACACACATTTCAATTCAAAGCTTAAAGGATCTCACCTCGTACATTTTCCTATTACTCAAAGTGCTTATTTGTCGGAAAACTGCCAGATTTACCAGTCACAACAACTGCGCACAAAGGAACCAGACAGAGCTTTAACCAAGTCCTGCAGCCATTTGTAAACTCAGTTCAACAGATTCAGAATACTTTAACTCTTATTCCAACTCGCAGTAAGGAAGGGAGGAAGAAAGGGAAGGAAGGAAAGTAGAATGAGGTAAAGAAGGATCCAATTTGTTCTTAGAACTTTTTACTCATTTAGTCAGTTTCTTAGACACAGCTTCTTCCAGCCTTTAGAAGCAGCATGTCGTCTGGATTGGCTGGAATCACACCACTGGCCTAAACGATACTGCTTGGCCTCATCTGCCCTAGTTTTTTATGTTGTTTAACAGCTGAGAAAATATTGTATTTCCAGAATCCTATCATCATAACTTCCACCTGTCCTTCTGTACCAATACAGAATGATCTGTTTACACCTTTCCACATTAAATCCAGGTGCCATACATCTCGTAGTGATGATCCCTCAGAAAGTAAAAAGCTAGACATCCATCTTTACATGTGCAGAGCAGCAAGGCTTGGGACAATGGCAGGTGAGGTGGTTCCCAGAATTCACCAAATTCCTCACCCTGTATTTCTGGGAGTCTCCAGCCTTTTTCCAATTTTAGTGGAGCTGTTCTAAATGAGGGTGTTCAAAGAGGTCTCCAAATACCATCATCAGGTTTTGCAGCCACATCCTCGTGCAAGGTGATGAGCTAGGTAAAAAGTCTAAATGCCTCCACGTCCCCCAATATTTGCGTCAAAACTGATGGTACAGGGGAGAGGGTGTTGAGGGAAAGGGTTGGCCAGAGGGTATGGTGCATCTTCCCACTAGGACTTTAAAAATGTTCTTTTCTAAGAACAAACTGGCCCTCAACTACCTTGAAGTCCTGAGGCCACATGAAATAATGTAGGAGAAAACTTTTAACAAGTTTACTCCATCTATTGTGCTTTGAAGGTTCTTCCTACCAAGAAAGTGATTATGCACAGTCCATCATGGACCTGAGGGAAGAGCCAGAGCTGGACAAGGCAATGTGGACACCTCTACCCGCAGCACACATGCACGAGCCACCCGCGTTTAATGGTTCTCTTCTCTAAATTTACTCCATCAGGTTCCTTGTAATGTCCCTAGTAGACATCTTTCTTTGTTTTCACCTAGTTTGGAGAAGTGCTCTGTTGTTCTTATAGACATACTCTTCAGGGGTTCCTTATGGAAGGCAGATGAACCCCCTTTATTATGCCCGGCGCCATGCTGAGAGCTTTACATGTATTATCTTAATTCCCCTCCAGAATATAAGATGTTACTATTCCTTTTTTAGAGAAGGAGAAGCTGAGACTCACAAAAGTAGCACATTAACTGAGACCTCCATGTGCCGGCTATGTGCCCGTCGTGTCTACAGCTTTAGATGAAATACCCTGCAGGCCCTCAACAAATACAGTAGTTGTCAAATAAATGAATGAATAAGTGAATAAATTCAGCTAAACCTCATAATAACTCTCACGATGAGTTATCATCCCACGGTGAGCTATCCCAATATCTACTGGGAATAATGACAAGTAGAGATGGGATTTAGATCTAGTCCAGTCCGGAAAGCCAAGATTCTCTACGCTCTGCCAAAGTAGAGGAAATGCCAGAAACAGGTCTCCATAAACCATTTCCCCCTTCCTAATTCACACCTTTGCAAGAACAGGTACCTTTCCCTCATAGCACAGTCAGAATTCACAACTGAAACAGGGAGTGGAGAAGTCACAAAGCATGAAACCGACGGGGAGAAGAAAAAAGAACATCGTGAAACATTACCTAATTGTTAAGTAATGTTGTCATGCATTGTCCAAAATTGGCCTGGAACAGGAGTCCAGCCAAGGAGAGGAATATAAACAGACCTTGCACTGGGATGAGCCATCTCATTTCTAGCCACTCTGATTCATGTGAGAGATGGGGACATTCCAAGCAAACTCCAGGACTGCCACAGACCCGGCACACACGCTCAGGGACAGAAAGAGGCACTAAAGGGTCAGGGCGAAAGAATATTTACACAAGAACTCCGGCAGGGAATTAAAATGCACTGTGTGTTTTTGCCTTTCAAAGCATGATTCCTTTTCCTGTTTTTGTTATTCTGAAATTAAAAACATTTGGTTGCTGTGCCAGGCAGCAAAGGCAGCAGACATCCCAGGTCACCAACACGCCCCATGCCATGCTAGGGAAGGCAATCAAAACAACTCTGACGTTCGACAACCACGGCTGGGCTTTGGGCTCCACCCCAAATTAATGTATCACCGTTACACATGATGGCACATTGGGATCCTCTCAAAGTTTAAAGAAAAATATACCCACAGGAACTAGACATGATTATTTTAAAATTAAGATGTGTGTGCTCATGGTTTTGCCTGCTGCCCCTGGTGAGTACTTTTTACATGTTTTTGCTGGGAGCTGTTGGCTTTGCTCACTGTGGTATCACATGGAAGGTGCCCTGAACGGATGAATAGTATATCTAAACCAAAGACATCCCTCTCCTGAAATGTAGAAATCATAAAACCTACTCCAGTTGATTCAATTCAAGTACTAAAAGAGAAATTGCCACATTTTAAATTGTATTTATTTTATTTTTTTTTCTTGAGACTGAGTGTCACCGTTGCCCTCGGTAGAGTGCTGTGCTGTCACAGCTCACAGCATCCTTGAACTCTTGGCTCAAGTGATCCTCTTGCCTAGCCTCCTGAGTAGCTGAGATTATAAGTGCTGACCATGATGCCTGGCTAGTTGTTCTATTTTTAGCAGAGATGGGGTCTCACTCTTGTTTAGGCTCGTCTTGAATGCTTGAACTCAGGCAATCTACACATCTCAGCCTCCCAGAGTCCTAGGATTAAAGGCATGAGCCACCATGCCTGGACTTATTTTTATTATGTATTTGTTTATTTATTTATTTAGAGACAGAGTCTCATTCTGTCACCCTGAGTAGAGAGCCATGGCATCAGCCTGCCTCACAGCAATCTCAAACTCTTGGGTTCAAGCCATCCTCTTGCCTCAGCCTCCAGAGGAGTAACTGGAACTGCAAGTATCCACCATAATGCCTGGCTAATTTTTGTATTTTTAGTAGAAATTGGTTCTTGCTCTTGTTCATGTTGACCTTGAATTCTTTTTTTTTTTTTTTTTGCAGTTTTTGGCTGGGGCTGGGTTTGAACCCACCACCTCCAGCATATGGGGCCAGTGCCCCACTCCTTTGAGCCACAGGGACTGCCCTGGCCTTGAATTCTTGAGCTGAAAGGATCCTCCCATCTCAGCCTCGCAGAGTACTAGGATTACAGATGTAAGCCACCACACCTGGCCTGGTCAATTTTTTATTTTATTTCTTAAGAAAGATAACTCATATGTCAGGCATGGTGGCTCACGCCTGTAATCCTAGTACTCTGGGAGGCTGAGGCAGGTAGATTGTTTGAGTTCAGAAGTTTGAATTGGCCTGAGCAAGAGCGAGACCTCATCTCTACTGAAAATAGAAAAACTAGCAGAGCGTTGTGGCATTCCCCTATAGTCCCAGCTACCGGGGAGGCTGAGGCAAGAGGACTGCTTGAACCTAAGTTTTTTATTTTTAGTTAATTAATTCCATTTTTTTTTATAGTTGGGGATTCATTGAGGGCATAAGAAACCAGGTTACACTGATTGCACTTGTAGAGCCTACATTTTTGAGGTTGCTGTGAGCTATGACACTACAGCACTCAACCCCAGGACAACTACGCGACACTCTTGTCTCAAAATAGAAAAGACAACTAATAAAAATTTGAACCCACAAGATATGCTAAATACGTGATTATTTTTAAAAATGGAGAGAAGGATTTTTTTTTAACTTCCAATATAATTCACTCCAGTATTTTGCCAAACAGATAGTCCCTAAACATATTTGAGATAAGATTTATTTTACCAAACTTCAACATTCAACTTTTCAGGAAACCAGCTACTGTTTACCTATCATGCCAACCAGCTAAGCCTGGTAAGTACATTGCCTTCATTAAACAGAAGGCTTAGGGAATAGGCTGCAGTATACTTTCCTAAGGCTTAGGGAATAGGCTGCAGTATACTTTCCTAAGGCTTAGGGAA